ACATAAAATGTTAAATTAATCATTCTAAAAATGCAAATCTTTGCATCATAGTAGGTGGAGCTTCACATCAGTTGTGGGTGACACCATTAGTCAATGTGGCCTTGTACCACCATATATCTCTGAGCTAACACAGATATAGAGTATGCAGTTTACCAGGTAATTATTCCACTATACTGAAGAAATAGGTGAACCTGGTAGAAAGAACATTTTGGGGAGGCCATATTCTTGCAATGTCAAGAGTTCTGAGAAGTTTTGATGACTATACAGCTCAAAAGTGACTCTCAAGGGTTGATCTTCTGACTGCTGCTACTACAACCTTCTTCAGCCAGCATGAGCAATAAGGAAAGAGAAGTGAGGGTGACATATGACAATACTTGGAGAATGACACTTCACAAGGTCCTCTCTTATAGAATGACAAAACCATATATATATAAAAGACTTGCTTGTGGAAGATCTATCAACCTGGTTCCTGGGCGGTTTAGCCCTCTACTTTCTTCCCAGCCAGTCTGCAGAAGGCTCCCTTCACATCCCTGTTCCTCAGGCTGTAAATGATGGGGTTTAACATGGGGATCACAACTCCATAAAAGACTGCCACCACTTTTTCCCTATCAGAGAACGTCTTGGCTTGAGGCCTCAAATACATGGCCAAGATAGTGCCATAATATATGCTCACTACTGTGAGATGAGATCCACAGGTGGACAAGGCTTTGCTCCGACCTTGGGCCGAATGAATACGCAAAATAGTGAATCCAATACGGCCATAGGTCACCAGGATAAAGAAGAAGGGGAATGCTAGGGTAATGGCACTGGTTATTATCATGTTAATTCCACTGGCACGGGTATCAGAGCAAGCCAGTTTCAACACTGCCTGCAGTTCACACTTGAAATGATTCACCACATTTGGCCCACACAAAGTTGCCTGCATGCTGAAAAAGGGGACAATAGTAATAATGAAGGTGCTGGCCCACAGGGTCACAGCCAGCTGGATGCATACATTGCGACTCATGATCAGGTTGTAGCGCAGAGGGTAGCATATTGCCACAAAACGGTCATAAGCCATCATAGCTAACAAAACAGATTCAGTGATAGCTAATAAGCCGCTGATGCTCATCTGAGCAAAACATCTGCCCCATGGGATAGTAGGTCTGTCCATGAAGCAGTGGACCAGCATCTGTGGGACAGAGGTGGTAATATAGCTGATGTCAATAAAGGAGAGGTTGCTGAGGAAAAAATACATGGGTGTGTGGAGGTGAGAATCTATGACAATCAGCACCAATATGAGGCCATTGCCAGCTACAGCAATGAGATAGATAATCAAGAAGAGGACAAACAATCCAGCACGAACTTTGAAGTTTTTAGAGAGCCCAACAAGCACAAATTCGGTCACTGTGGTTGCATTTCTCCATTTTTCCATGTTTCCTGTAAGAGTGAAACAAATTTAAAGGTAAAGGTACTGTATGTTCTCCTGGAATTCTTTATAAATATTCCACACAAACATGGGAATTAAGAATAGGAGAATTGCTTTTAAGAGAGGAAACTAGCTTTTGGAGGAAATGATTCAGGGATATATAGATATGTCAAGTATAGAATTCTTTTACATAATTTCTCTGTTCCACTGTAAGTGTTTATGTGAGCCATAGAGACCACAGCCTTCTAGATTTCCTATTCCCATACAGATATCTGCTTTTAGCTGATCCATTCTATCTAAGATTATAGAGCATCCTGGTAAGTTTTATTTGCATTATTCACTAGATGATAAAAATGATTACCTGAAATATCACAAAGGATTTTTATTTAAGGAAATCATTTTTGTCCTCTAGCAAATTTGCACACAATGCAACAATCACAAAAGATTGTCACATTGTGTGCAAATTCCTCTCCAGATGGTGAACAATTGCCAGTGAATGGGTTTTTTGGGGGGGGGTACTTATTTTTTTAGGACATTGTCTGTAACCATAGTAGCCTAATTCCTTCTTTCATAGGTGTTTGAGAGATCAGACAAAGATGATTCCCATAAATTTGTATTACTATTGATACAGTAATGGTCTACTGTATAGATAACCCCACAAATATATGGGTGTTGCATCAATTGTTCTAATGGCTCCAGTGCCTAAGAGTGTGAATTACAGGGAATCACAGTGTAACTGTAACATAGCTGTAACAAACTGTGTTAAATAAAATAATTAGTACCAAGTCACACTAATGGTTCTACTGGCCATTCACAAGTGAATTTGCACACAATATACCAAAATTTGCTGCTTTTAAAAAGATAAAATTCATTGATCATCTAGCAATAAAATTAAAAGTTATCAGAATGTCCTGAATAAAGAAATAAAAAGGCTAACAAATAACCCTATAAAACTGACCATAGAAAAGAATGTGAAGGGCAATGGTTTCTATAAGACCCATGCCTGTTCTTCAAAAGATATTTTCCAGTATTCAGCTTCCTAAACAGCTGTGGAGATCACATTAAAATAAGCTAGAGTTAAAGTTCTCCTGCATTTAAAGACTGAAATTTGATATAAATATGAAGCTGATTTGTGAACTAAAATTGATTTCTAAACAATCATGTTTGATCTTCTATGTTTAAAATCCATTGCTTTTATGCTAATTTAGCTTGATATAGTTCTAATAGTAAAATAGTATCTCTGAAAAAACCAGAGATGGATTGCCTTTTACTAGGAGATTTGACATTACCTGCCAGCATTAGCTGGCTGCTGGACCATCCAATAGGGTTGTGGAGAAGTTTTAACCAGCAAGTAAAAATATTTACCCAAAGACTAGATTCAAGTTTACTGAGTTTTGCTTTCCACCAAAGTACCACATTTACATGCAACAGGTAACCTAGAAAATGCTTCTCAAGAACTGACTTTGGACATCTCCTTGGGATGGTTCTGTGGTTCTGGTTGAGCCCCAAAAACCCACTTTAGCTGCAAATAATATAATTGTAGCCGATATAAAACTTGGCTGAGTAATGTTGATCTCTGTTCATTTTGAGACGTGGTACATAATTCAGGTGAGTATTTCAGCTTTCAGAAACTTGAAAAACTAGTCTTAAACATTTAAAGGTCCTGACCATCGCAATAGTGTGTCCACCTAACTTCCAGATTTGCTATTTCAGGCATTTGGAGAAAGTAAGGATTTTGGTCTTGACAAAGTGTATTATTCCTCCATATTTCAGTAATTGATGAGAGACAGCAAGTTTCTTTTAAGACCAATAAACATAAAGATTAAAATTACTATAGTGCATCATCAGCATAAACTAATACACTAATATGCTTATGAGGTAGTTCAGGAAGATGGGAGACAGAATTATCTAAGAGCACTAGTGAATTTA